TTATCTTTAAGCCATAAACGCGATAGGCGGAATGCGGGATGCCTAATCGACGGGGCCAAGGCGCTTGACGTGACTTTGTAACTCGTCCAACGATCAGCCGCGCCTCTCCCGCATCGCGATTCCGACCGCGGTCTCGATAGTCCCTCGCTCGAGGCGTGCAATGTATCGAACGTCGAGTGTATCGAACTTCGATGTATCGCATTCGCGATGGCTTCCGCGAGTGAATGACGGTACTCGCGCGGGGTATTCGCGACTAATATTTCAGCATTAATGGTGCCCATTTTTCTGAATATAAATGGAGGCGCCGCGCAGTGGTTCGGAATTGGCGGGATTTCGGAACGGAGAGCTTTTGGTCCTTTGTAGTCGGTAGTCGATGTATAACACTCGAGACGCTGTATTCCCACCCCCCCCCCTGACTTTTTGGCGCATATTCCGTCAGGAGCCGGCGTTCACTGGAAGGTATCGATGTTTAAAATTCGAGACCATGTGTTTTCATTTCCGACATTGCAGCGACTTCGCATCATACTTAAATTTTTCCTGTGAAATCTACTCAACTTAATTTCTTAACATCTTTTTTGAACTCTCATCTTTGTTGGCAGAATATTTTGTACAAATTCCAATGTTTAAAGTTGGCTTCTTTCTCGTGAAATGAATAAGAAAGGAGCGAAAATATTGAAATATCGCAATGGATATACGTGGCTTTACACCGTAGTCATTGATATGAAGAATACCAAAGAGTAAAGACACACATGTCACGCACATATGTCATAGTTCCTGTGGGAGCGAATCGATAGGATGTATCGCACGTCGCTCTGACGCAAAAAAATGGCGTGCATCGAATAACCTTGAAGCCTCCTTGATTAAATTGTACAATGAATGGGGCCTCCTAAGAGAATGCAGGTACATGAAATGTGTCTTGCCTTCTCTATCCTGGGCGGATTCGGCATATTCCTACTGTGCTTTGGCGATGATACCTGCCCCTCTTAGCGGCGTGTTGAGTGTCGGGTGATAAATGTTAGGCGAGTGTGGTGTGCCCACGCCCGCTCCCAACTTTTCGTTTAAGCCGAGCCACGCACAATTGTTTAACTCGGCTCTCACATCAAATAACCACTACTGTTCCCTGACTTTTTCCTCTCCCCCTGCTCCGTTCCCCGTTTTTACATAAATCGCCCCGCCTCTCCTCTGTCCCTATTTCCAAGCTTCCGAATCCGAGAAACGCATTTCAAGCCGAGGAGGACTTTCATTCTTCATCCTCAATTCTTATCTAATGACACACTCCTCTCTACTTCCGTCCTAAGGAAAAACCACGTACGTTAGGGAGTTGCCAAATTCCTTCTTCTTCTTCCTCCTCCTCTCTTCTACGAACGATTAGGGCACATCGACGGCTTAAGTCCGCAATCACATATCTCGTTTGCGGTGTCTGAAAATCTGCGCCTCTGTGTTATTTTTTTAAAGGAGAACAAATTGAACAATTGCCTGAATCCTTGGAGTTTATGCATAATTTTCTTCGCACAGAGAAGAAAAATCACAGCAGTTTTACAGAATTGCCGTTGAGTAGTTTTCCATCGGAAAAATAAAGTATGACAGGAAGTCTGCGACGTCGCAAACCGATTTATGCGATTGCCGACCTACACCGTCGATATCCGTGTTGGTCAGGCTATCTAGTATCGAGAACGTTGGAACATTTAAATATTATAAAATTCAAAAATCATGAAAAATAAAGGATTCGCCAAATCAATGAAAAACCAAATTTCCTCCGTCGAAATTTTTATTTTTAAGGAATAAGTTATGAATTTTTTCTTTTGAAATTTCCAGATGATTTGGATCTGATTGAGATAAAACTTCTCTGAAAAATTCGGAGAAAAATGCTCACAGATTCCACAGAAAACCCATGTTTTTATTAATGGAAATTTAACGACGGTTAATGCCTCGTACAGTGTTCTTCCTTAGAACTACAGGGTACTGGAGTGCCTAAACAGGGTGTCCCATGGCTGTAGGGCCACACTGTAATCTGTGAATATTTTTCTCTCGATTTTGCAAAGAATTGTATTCCCGATCAGATCCAAATTATCTGAAAGTTTCAAGAGCAAATAATTTTAACTCTCCTCAAAAATTAACATTTTATCGAAGGAAATTTGACACCTCTCGGATGTTCATTCGGCGTTTCGTAGCACGGCAGCGGCATAGGATGGCCCAAACGTGTCCTCAGTTGGGGTTGCAGTCACCTAAATTTTGGGAATTATATACACTTATTTTATTTTTTCGAGGAAAACAAGGAAATGTTACAGCTTCAAAATACGGAATATTTTGCTTACAGTGAAAAAAAATTAAGAAAGTTTTTAACTTTAGTTTCCCGAGGAAAAAAATAAAGTATGACTCGAAGTCTGCGACGTCGTAAAAAGAGATACTTAGCTTCGCACTTTGGCAATTGATATTTAGGTATTTTTTCCTACATTTGTTTTTAGGCGCACCTATGATTATTGACTGCGAGAAGATTAAATCCCGCGGAAACGACGAGGAATTAAAAAATGCGTGATAGGAACTAATGCAACCCATTCCACGCTCGGATCCCGTCGCCGTGAAAAATAATTCATTCGAGTCACAACGCAGGAGACAGCAGCGATTCCCCGTCGCGAAATGACAAAAGCGTAAGCCATTAAGTATCCATCGCCTGGGAACTTATTCAAATTTCGACTGGAATATGCATTTAGCGCGCAATTACAGGATGCGCGCCCGAGACGGGATGACGCAGTTCCAACGATACGAAAATAACAATCGGGGTCCATGAGCGGGGCTACCAGGCTCCAAGTCAACTCTACAGTGGATTTTGAAAAACGCGTAACTCCTTCACAGTGTTTCAAAATCTCCGATTCAATTTTATTTCATCAAAAGAAAACGAACTCGCCACATTTGATTTTTTTCCCAGAATTATCGCCACACAGAGGGGAAAATGGCTCGTTGAACCTTGTGTTTCTTATTTATTATTCTGGAAGTACCAGGTTACGTGGTCAATTATTGCGTATTTTTGAAATCAACTGGACAAACCCGTTAAAGTCCAAAGATTCGAAGGAATTTCAAACGCGCCGGAAAATGATGAGAGTGGTGGCTTACGGCAGTCTTATCGCCGTTACCTATCATTTTCCACCAATGTTCAATAAAATGAAACGCATTTCAATGTGGAAATGTTACTGCAGACGGGTAACATAAAGAGATTCGATTTTTTTATCCTACTGACATGGTTTCAATTTTTCAAATGTTTTCACGTACGAGGAATAGAAATAAATTTGACGGAGATCGTAGAACTCCTTGTACGCCTCTGATTGGTGCCGGATGACATCACTCGGTTCGGCGCGAAACCGGGGCTTTGCAAATTTTCGGAAAAAATGCGCCTACTGAACTACGCATTTATCGGGTTTTGAGGTACTTTTTAGTGGTTTTAATATGCTCAGTGTATTCTACGCATCATTTACTTCTCGAACGCACCGATAAAATATATTCGCGAGACAAAATTCGCTCATAGTTCATTGACTCATACAAGGAAGTTTTCAGGAAATGAAATGGAGTAGTATTACCATCATTAGGAAATAAATTATGACAGGGAGTCTGCAGCGTCGTAAGCCGAGATACGCGGTTTTATAGTTTCATCGTCAAAATGTCACTGTCGCTTGTATCGAGTTCCACGTAAATCCAAGCACTTTCCTCGCGCTGAGTTTCATCCAGTGACGAGGCATCAATGATCGATTATCGATATTTTCCCATTTGAAACTAAGGGAAAAAATCGATATTTGAGGCCTTCGTCGCGAACACCCTATCTATCGATACTTTTCTACGGGTTTAAAGGGCAGATCAATCGATAAATCGAAAAGCACGCCACGCCACTGCACTTTTCCGACGCGACGAGACGCGCTAAAAGCGTCTCCGAGTATCTTTCGAAACAATAGAACCCGGGGAAACGGGTACGTTTGCTAACGATTGGTAATCATTTTTCTTTCTCCGCGTTGCGATTCGATACCCGGAGTGAAAAAGTGAACATTAAGCGTATTTTCGTATTTGATCGAGGGGAATGGAGCTTCAAGATGGAAAACTGTAAAATCTAAACTCAGACAGAGTGATGAGTCCTTAAAAATCATCGAATACCTGAAAGAATCAGGAAATGTTGCCCAATCTTGAAAGTCGGGGGATTTTCTTGCAGATCGCTAAATATTTGACTATTTACTAAAGCTTGTTCACACTCGAGAACAATGATATGAACTTCTTCCTTATAGCTCTCGACTAAAACATTTTACCCGGAAACAACTATTCAATGCAGAGGCTAGACCTCTTTGCAACTATTTATTGCTTAGGAACGGATACATTCCTCTCCAAAGCACCAAATTTTTGCCCGGGAGAGACATTTTTTCTCTCCTGGGCAACTATTTAGTGCTTAGGAACTGATAATTTCCTCTTCACAGCACCAACTTTTTGCTCGGGAGTGGAATTTTTTCTCCCAGAAACAACTTTTCAATGCAGAGGGGAGAAATTGTTTCTCTCTTGGGTAACTATTTAGTGCTTAGGAACGGATACATTTCTCTCCAAAGCACCAACTTTTTGCTCGGGAGAGAAATTTTTTCTCTCCTACTATTAGTAGGAGAGACTATTTAGTGCTTAGGGACGGATACATTCCTCTCCAAAGCATCAACTTTTTGCGCGGGGGAGAAAAATTTTTCCAACTCTCCAATGCAGAGGAGAGAAATTTTTTCTCTCCTCATTCGAGCTTAAATGTAAGACTCTGATTGAAATTGTTTGAACTCTTTGGCCTCATTTTCCTTTAGAAGTAGTGTGGATCCAGCACTATTTTACCACCTTGTTACATACAGTTTGGGCTACATTTTTTTCTTGACCTCCAGCCAACTGAGAAAATTTATCATCGATAAAACAGCAAGAAAATAACTTTTGGGGTATAGATATATTACATTTATCATATTCACTTAATTAACGTGTACGTTTTCTATTTTTTGCAGGTGAAATGCCCGATCACGGCTGCACTCTGAACTGTACTGGTGAGTACATAGTTCCTTAGATAACGGTAGCAAGTACACATCAACGTATCGAAAACAATTTCCTAAAATACACCGGTAAAAAGTCTCTTGGATCCAAAGTCTAGACTCTTAAAAAAATTGACAAGAAAAATCACACTTGATTTAATCGGATTTTTGCCTGAATTTGCCTGATTTTTGTAGAATTTTGCCGAGCCTCTTTTAATTTAAGCAAAAATGTTTTTGATTCAGAAATCAGATTGAGTAATTTCTTGTCAAATTTTTTGAGTGTCTGTACTGTCGATCCAACAGGCTTTTTTCCCCCGTGTATAAATTTCATTGGAATTACTACTTACTTCCGTAGATAGACTGATGTCCCTTTCCCCATTTACACCTTTACGTAAAAAAAAGTATCATCAGTAGTTTCCCGTACACTATGACAGACGACTCGAAGGAGCAATTGAACGTATTTCTATCATACGGAACTATGTGTATTATGATTTAGCCGTGTTATGCACATATTCTTATGGGTCTCAGCGCTCATGTCTTAATGCACATAGTTCCGTTTTATCGAAATACATCCAATTCATGTTTCTGGCGTCAGCGTCCCACCTCGACGTCAAAACCGTTTGATGTGCGAACGACGCTTGAGCAAAGGTCGACGCGACTGCGGGATCTCTTATCGCGTTACCCTCCGAAGTAACGGCCTAACCGCAATTTTAGGTGAGCCACGGCATCCGTATAATCCTACTCTTTCCAGGGCCCATGTGGAAACGGACTCACGTCCTTACGCCAGTGAGCTGACGATTGAAGCTTCACTAAAGCACTCCGGCTCTATTTTTCCGCGGCTTAAAGTGTTTCATACAGTATCGGCGCGTCGAAGCCGAGAACAGTTCTGCGGTGCTAAGGAAAAACGGCGTATGATCATGATCATTCGAATGCTGCCATATTTGCTTGCGGAAAATATTTATTATAGAAGAAAGTTATGTATATTTTTCCTTAGGATTTTCAGACACTTAAGATAAAATCACGAACAAAATTCTCTGAAAAATTGGAAGAAAAATATTCACAAATTTTCCCGAAAATTCGTGTATTTGCGAAGGGAATTTGTCAACGCCTGAAGGCTCGTACGGCATTCTTTTTTGGCACGGCAGAGTTCCCGACCCGCAACCGCGGTCGTGGTAAATAACTAATACGATAAGAAAAAAACGTCGTATGTAAAATTGACTTCGCTGAATTTCCTGTGATATAAGATTACTTACTGAGAAAAGTTATGAATAATTTCCCTTGAAATTATCACATACTTCAGGTTAAATTAAAAAGTAATTTCTCCGAAAATTTCAAAGAAAAAATGGCAAACAATCCACATGAGAATTCGCGTTTCAACGGGGGAAATTTGGTGACGTCGGATGGCTCATACGACGTTCTACCTTGTAAGAAAAAGGAGAATACTGCCGTGCTGAGGAGAAGCGCCGTATGAACATTAGAGAGTTGCCAAAATTCCCCGAATAAAACATGTATTTTGGAGGAATATTATACATATTCTTCCTTGAAATTTTCAGATAATTTAGTTTAAATAATGAACAAAATTGACTGAAAAAATTTGAGGAAATACATTCACAATTTTCTCAGTGAATTCGGCTTTTCTTGAAGGAAATATGGCAACGTCTGAAGGCTCATACGGCGTTCTTCCCTAGCACGGCAGAATAAGAGAGGAATCCATAGCGGGAGCCGACTAAAAACAAGAGATTAGAGCTCTTCAACTCGAGTATTTATTAATTAAAAAGGAGCCGAGGAGTGGGCCGTGACTTATGTTCCGCGGCGGGAAATATGTTCGAGATGAGTTCGTGCCCGCTCCCTCCCTCCGCTGGCGCGAGCGTTTTCCACCCCCCGGTCCCCCTTTTCCACCCCCCGGTGGCGGTGAAAGCAGTGCAGCCTCGAGAGCCCCGTCTTTGAAGACGATCCTGACCGCGTGCAAATGAGTCGAGTAGTGCCAAGTTGCGCGCGATCTGGGGTCGTGATCCACCCCATAAAAAAACCCTCGTGGAATACGTAACGCTCTAGGGGCTGCGTGACGTAACGTTGAAGTAGGTTTTCGCTGCGCGTCGCACTGCTCAGAGGATCGAGTCGATGGGAGAGATCGACTCGATGTGAAAACTTTTAAGGGCATATCTCGAATTCCACGTGAGCCCTGTTTTACGTATGAATCCACGCTTTATGGTGCTCATACTTCAGAAATGCGTATTTTGCTAGCGGTGTTTAAAAATCTCAACTTTTATTTTGTTAAGTAAATGAAGGCCGAAAAAACTTCATAGCTCCTCGGTTGCCACAGTCAGGGAATACCAGAAAAACCAGGAAAAGATCAGGGATTTTAAGAAAGTCAGGGAAAACCTGAAAATGGCAGGGGATGTGTCCAGAGTGTCGGGGAAAAATTGTTAATTTTACTTTTATTCGCTTTCTAGAATGGATTTGGCGTATAGAAAAACAAATTTCGCTTGTAAACTATTTCAAATTAGATATTTTTGATCGTATGGCATATCCTTAATTGGACGTATTTCTATCAAACGGACCTAAGCGCCATAGGGTGAGGAAGGTAGAGGGGGGCTTGGATTGGCGGCGGAATCGGGCGTCCGACTTATTCCGTCCTATACTCGCAATGCTTTTCCATGGCGCTTACGTCAGTTTGACAGAACGCGCTATTCGGGATTCTAAATTCCTCAAATGGAACTCAAATTGGCGCTTAGTTCCGTTTGATAGAAATACGTCCAATTGTCAGGGAATTTTACTCAAATATGTCAGCGAAATCAGGAAAATGTCAGGGAATTTCATTCTATAAATTCTGTGGCAACCCTGTAGCTTGAACATTTTACAGAATATTCTGAACAAAGAGAAGGAAATTTATCGACATTTCCAACAAATGACGATTACTCAAGTGCTTTCGTTGGTTTAGAATCTCGTCAAGTCTCGCCTAATTATGGCCAAGATTTATTGGTTTTACAAATAAATTTTAGCTGTATAATGTGACAATAGAACCAGAAATATGTTCAGTTTCAGTAGAACATTTCAGGTTCGATCTCTTCTGAAGGCTCGTTTCATTGAGCGGCATAGTCAGTCAAGTCTGCATCAATTAAACTGCGGATGAAACTTGGGATGCAACTAAACAGCCTTGGCAGTAGCCCCAGGTGGTATCCACCGATGTTGAAGGCGTTCTGGGCAACCAATTTTTAGGAAATGTTTGCAGAATATTCCTTTACCTATCGTATGAATAACACAATTCAGAGTTTTTTTTGGACTAAGGTACTTTATGCCGTGCTGTGTAAAAACGTCGAATAAACATTCAAATGTTGCCAGATTAACTGTCAAAGAAAATGAATTCTTAAGGTAAAGTTACAAATCTTTTTTCTTGAATTTTTCAGATAATTTAGAGTTGATTGCGCATAAAATTCTCCATAAAATTGGCGGAAAAATATTCAAAGATTACCTGATAATTTAAATTTTATCAAAGGAAATTTGGCAACGTCTGAAGGCCCATACGGCGTTTTTCCGTACCACGGCAGCCTCCTCTTGTGCACAGTCACAAACGGAAACGTTGAAAGGGCTCTCTCTGCGTATGATTTCCACGAATCAACCGGTTATTTTGTATTTTCAAACCAGTTACACTCGGCAAATGAAGTATCCTCGCATACGACAATTCAATTTAATATACAACAACTTGAAATACCTCAACATCGCAGTTGAGTTGACCATACGAAGGGGAAGAGTATATATTCACAAATGTTACGTTGGGCGTTTTGTCAGCCCGAAATAACCAGAAATTACGCGTTCTTTTGTCAAAACCGCAGAATCAAAACAGACGGCAAAAGTTGGGCGGTGGAGAACGGAGAAGATGATATTCCCATTCGAGCTTTCGACCGATCAATTCGTCCGTCGCATTGTTAAATTGCGGTGAAAACTTCGCAAACTTTCTGACCCGGACGACAGCGAAACCGCACCCATGAACCTCCCCGCGAATTGTTTGATAGAGTGTAGCAAGCTGGTCTTACGTGAGAAAACATTTCGGCTATCAATGCTGTCTTGCTAAGGAAAAACACCGCATAAACCTTCAGGCGTTGCCAAATCTCCTTCGGTAAAATACGAATTCACTGGGAAAAGTGTTTAATGTTTTTCCTCCAACATTTCGGACACTTTAGTTCACAATTTAATCCAAAATATCTGAGAATTTTAAGAAAAATTATGCCCAAATTTCCGCCAAACTAAATATTATATCTGGAGAAATATGGCAACTCTCGAATGTTCATACTACGTTCTTCCCTAGCACGACAAAATACCACCGCGACAAAAACACGAGCATGATATTGTATTTTTGCGAGTACGTGTGTGTGCGCCTGGTCTCCTTTCAACGAGCTGAATGCCGCATTTGATCAATGAGTGCGAGAGAGATATACGACAAAACAGCGGATGGACCAATGTAAGTTGAGCCTTGTTCCTCGTTAACCGCCATCCTTTCCAGAGTTCTTGTTGTAATTTTTTGTGTGGTCTTGCCATCCCGAGTTGGCTCTACCGACTAATTTAATATAACAAACATCAGTGGAAAGTGAGAGGAGATAGTTCTTTAACCGCTGTAGTAAATCGCTTCCATAATTTTCTCGCCATTGCGGCGCATTTGAAATTTTGTCGAGTCTTTGGGCGTTTGAAAACCGAGTTTTTCCGGAATTTTGGCTCCAAAAATACGCAGTAAATGACCACTTAATTTACTCCCCTGGCTCTTCCTGAACATTTAATAAAAAAACTTAAGATTTAGTGACCCATTATCAATCGATCAAACTACTATGGGATTGATCTCAAATATCCTGAAGATCCATCTCAATGCTGCTGTGTTAAAGAAAAACGTCGTATGAACCATCAGACGTTGCCAAATTTCTTTAAACGAATTACGAATTCTCAATAAAATGTGTGAATAATTTTCCTCCAAACTGTCGGGCAATTTTTTACGCAATTTAATCTAAATCACGTGAAAATTTCGA